TTGGCAGCACACTCCAGCAGGGTGCTGGGAGGACCAGCTGCCCTAGGAGAGTTAGCAGGGCTTGGTGGCTGGAGCCTTTAGATACAGCACTGGGAGCTATATATCAGCATGACTGTTGTCATTCATATGTGGATCACATCAAATACTGAACTTAAAGAGCAAGTGCAAGACTTATGATTTTGACCCAGAGAGTTTTCATGTTTCCATTTTCAATGTAAGAAACATCTCTGATGGAAATACCTAAGGGTATTTCCATTCACAATTACTGTCGATTACCCTTCTGTATGATGGTTGTATACTCGCACTCCCTTTGCTGGACTCCCTTTCTGTATGATGATTGTATGCTTGCACTCCCCTTGCTGGAAAATGTTTCCTTCCCGTGATGCTGTAGTTGGCTTCCTTCACAATACCAGCAGCTCCAGCTCTCTGGAGGACAGGTGATGGCAGTCTCCCATGCTCACAGCTTGTCAGACAGAACTCAGCATGCCAACTGACACTAATGTAGACAGGCTGGGGTTTTTTGTTCCTCTTTTGTTGCTTAGCTGGAAACATATAGGCATGGCTTCCTAAATGCCAGTGTAACGGGTAAGTATAAATGCCCTGCTCACACAAGTTTATATGCAAAAAAAGTTCTTGAGGGTTTTCAAACAATATGGGACAAGCTGGAGGTGAGCTAGCCAATGCTGGTACTGTTCACCAGCGTAGAGCCAGGGTATTTCTGTCTGTGGTAAGGACAGGCTTGGGCAAGAGGTTGTTGTATGAATTACTCAGGAAGCCATCTTTCTGCAGCAGGGAAAGCCTGTATTGGGCTATACGTGGTTTATAGCAGCCAGGTCTGCTTGCAGGCTTTCTGATTCAGGAATGCTACATCCTGCAGATAGCTAGTGAGCACATGGACTGGCAGAGGTGGCAAGAACATCCCACTTATTAAATAGAAACTATTTTAAGAGAGAATGTGCAGTAACACCCCTACCCCCAAATTCGTCCATGTCCATGCATGTGCTCTGGAGGTCTGGCTGTCCTTGGTCCTGGGCTGCTGAGTCTCCTCAGCTGTCTGTGGTAGCAAGAGACCCTCTCCAGTTTTCCCATCCCTAAATGGGGACGTGGTCACCCTGTTGCTGTGACTGGCAGAGATTCATTAGTCCACAACACAAAATGGATTCGTATCTGCCTGATCATGTTGGTTTGTGTTGTAACGAATAGTATCCTGTAAAACCTGAGAGTCAGAGGAATGGTAGGTGAAGGATGTTTATTTTGATCATGGCATCTCCCTCGCAGGACCACCCAGTGAGCTGGGGGAGATGTGCTAGCAGCTTTGTTTCACAGGAAATACGTGGAAGATTAATGATTGGGGCATGAAATTAAGTGACCGATCTTTCAGGGTTGTATTTGTTTTTGCAATCAGTTATTGTACTTTTCTGCTATAGGCTGTTTAATAGTGCATTATAATAAGTTGGAAGTATAATCCACTCACTGTAGAAGAGCAGCTGTTTGTCACTGGTGCAGGAAGGGATCCCCATATAGTTCCTCCTGCACCTGCAATAGACTACGTGCAGCTTTGGTTGACCGGGGCAGATACCGACCTCAGACAGCTGGTAGGAGTTCTAAGGCTTGTGTCTCAGATACATCACGAAAGCACCAGACAAATGTCACCTGTCTGTGCCTTCTCTCTTTCTGCCAGTTTCTCCTACCTACTCAGATGGTGAGCTTGCTGGTGCAGATCGCTCTTCCTACGTCTCAGACAGTGTCTGGCATACTGTAGCATTAACAGATCAGTTACACAGATGTATGAAATACTGCTAATTGTGGAGAAACTTTAATGGATGCTATATACCCAACACTTCCTTTTGCCTCTGAAAATCTCCTCCAGAGATATGCAGATCATATATACTGGGATACCTATTTTTAGCTCAGAGTTGTATGTGAATAAGTATAACATTAATCCTTATTTAGTGAACAGGATATCCTGGATATGGGACGTTCTGAAGCAAGTGTTTAGATAACATCTATTTAAACAACGGGTGATTTAAACAATAGTAGTAAAAATTGATGTTGTGAATTCTCTCTGGTCCTGATTTTGAGGTCATGGTTATTAGTGTACCATCTATTATTTTTCTGGAGGATGCAATTGCTATTGAAAACCTCATAAACTTTTTTTTTTGTCTGCCCAGTTTTATACAGGAACAAGGAAGACTACTGCTAAAGTGAAAAATGAGGAGCATCAGCATTATAAGTTGCCAGCAGTGGAGTTTATAGATATTTTAATTCAAACAAATGAGCTGCTACTTCTTTGGGAGACACAGAAAGAGGAAAACGAATCTGATAGCCACCACAGAAGTAAATGTACTGCATGTGGTCCAGCTCTTGGGAAGTGGTAGAAGACCATGCAGGAGAGGTGAGTCGCATCACTGCAACTTGTTCTCAAATTCAAGATATTCTTGTTACTAGAAGTGACAAGAGGAGCAAAGTACTCCAGACAAGATAAAATGGTTTGTTTCTTTTCCTCTGTGATGGGTTGTAAAATGCAAACTACGGATAAGCTGTGATAATGTGGATGAACTGTATCTGTTGCAAAAGTTGCAAAGTAAATACAGCCCCCGAGACATAATTTCAGTAGGACTGGCATGATGGGTAATGAGGAATGATGCTTGTCGCTATTTGGTAACTGAAAGCAGTTTTGTGTTTATGACCACTTCAATTCTGGTACAGCAGCCACCAAATGCACTTAGCTTGTGCGAGCTGATAGATGGAGTGCCTCTTAAATTGGCTCTTTCCAAGTAAGGTCCAGATAGTAAAGCCGAGCACCCGTGTGAAGTCTCCCACCTCTGACATATTCAGCGTTTTGCCCAGAGATCCAGCCTGTGCTCAGGGAGTCATGAAGCAACCAAGGTCCCGGTAAATAGGCCATTGGCCATCTTTTATCAGCCCCAGTCTCTACAGCTCTCGTCTTGCTGAGGAGGTAAGAAAGGACTAGCTGGTAATTTGAACAGTGGTAGTAAAAAACAATGTTGTGGATTCACTCTGGTCCTGATTTTGAGGTCACGGTTATTAGCGTAGAACCTTTTATTCTGCAGCTTGAGTGAGCCTGTACCAGCACCATCTGGTGCGTGTACAAGCGCGTGCTGAGCCGGTGTTTGCACTGGCAGGTCTGGTGTGGCTGGTTGCACGCTTTCTGCCAGCTGGCCCCTGGGCTTGTCCCACTGCCTGGGGTAACACCTGCATTTTCTCCAGCCTATGGGGCCCACGGCTGGCTGGGAGGCTGCAGCCGTTCCCCTGTACGCAGGTCCCACAGTAACAAGCGCCGTGCTGCTAAGCTCTAGGTCACTCCGTGGGCAGCAGCTGCCTGACAAGCACGAAGGCTCGTGCCAGCTCCTGCAGATGTAGGTGTCTGTCTCCTGAGGATGGTCATGCAGCTAATCAAATCAACCTTGCGTGAAAAGAGAGTGCAGGTTGTCTAGAAAAATTGGTACGCCTGTAGCAAGACCTGAAGGCATGTGAAACACGGTGGGCTTGAGGATGTAAAAAAGCACAGGCTAGTAAAAATCGAACGTATGGGCCAATGGGTTCACAGAGTTCAATGGTATTTTTCAATAAAACATCTTGAAGGATGGGTTTCATACTACCACAGTTGTGCTTTTTTACACATTTTTGGGGTTTGGGGGTGCAGAACAAAGTGTTTGAAGTGATGGCTCACAGGCAATAAGCAGCATGATGAATGTTTTTGTCTTCTTATCTGGCTTTGTGAAGAAATACAGGAAAACATGAAACAAGGAGTGGGGAAGAAAGATGTTTTCGCTTCCTGGTTGTTTTCAAAGATGTGGCTGTTCTGGAATGACATTTCTGAGTAGCATGGTTGTGGCTTCAGCTGTGCCACAACTGTCAGGAAACTTGCTCCTGGTCGTGGGGCATGGAATATTGTGCTGGTTGAGATATTATAAAATTGCCTGTTTTCTCACCTTTTCACCGGTTTTTTTTTTAAATACCCCCCCCCCCCCCCCAACTCCTGATTGTAACTCCAAGGGACAGCATTGGAGTGGTTAGGAAATCTCTCTGTAGCTCTCACGAGTACTCTTGACTCTCACCCTGGTTTGGTTGCCTGTGAGTTAATTCAGGCTGCTTGACCTTGGTTACCTAGTTTGACATTGAGTGCAGCATCTTGGCTATAAAACATAAGCCTCTTTCTGTGAAGTATGATCTTTATGTACTTGAAGTCATGCTTTGTTTCATAGAAAGACGAATTACATAACCAAACATTTGTACAGCCTTTCTCTTGCAATTGGTTCCCTGACCCGTTCATTCCTTGTTACAGCATTTTTACCTAGATCTTGAGTTATCTGTGCAGAAAGCAGGGGGAATGAATTCTAGAAAGAAAACAAGAGCAATACACGATCCAGCCCTATGGTCAAGAAATACTGTGACGGACAAATGCTGTATAAGGAAGTCTTGTCCCAAACAGGAAAAATGTCAGAGCACCTTGATGACTGGATCTATGTGGTACCACGTGGCACAATTTTCCTTTTCTCTAAACTTGAAATGCTGCCTTCGCATCTTCAGGTAATTGGAATCTCCACAGACTTGGAGCAGCAGGAGCTCGATATGCTTGTTTTTTAGGTTTAATCATCATCACCTTCGTAGAGGACTCTTCAAACTAAAGCTAGCTGGGACACAAAGACACATCCAGAAATCCAGCTCGGTTACAGTGAGGATGGTACAACCCATGAGGGAGACATCATACGAGGTATGAGGAGGTGCAGGTTGAAAAGATCTCTTCAGACCTGCAGTGCCCTGAATAAGTAGTTTGGGTGAAGAAGTCTTAGTGACAGACAAGTCCCAGTGATTTCTATCGGGTTTAATGTGACTGCTCAACTCTCCAGCAGTGAGTGCCTGGAGGCTTTGCATGTGCAGTGATGTTTTTGTGCCTGTCTTCTGACCTGAATGTTCGGCTCTGCTGTTCGTGCGCTTGGGATGATGCCCGAGGTCGCCCTGTGTGCGTATTTCCGATGGACCCTCGATTCGTCCACGTGGTTCATGCTGAGGATGATGCTGTGGGCAGAAGTGTCGTGACAGTCACAGTTACCAACAGTGGGCCCGATATCATCCTGGCTGTCCTACAACAGATGAGGCCAAAAGTCCCTGTGCAACAAATGAGTAACTTCCCCCAGGGTTCTTTCTTCACTTTTAGGTTGTCGGCATCTGAATAATTTGGGGACAAGGGAAAAAAACGGGCTTTTGAACGATTCGACTGCAAGCAGCTGTTAGTACGGCAGCAGACCCTCCCCACCCTGGTGAACTGGCGGTGAAGACATTGCTGTCCCTTTGGCCCCGAGACCCTCAGGCAGAGCTGTGAACGGGAGGGACTCCCCTGCCGCGGGACGGACCTTTAACATTTTTATCTGAGGAAAAACGTGCACCGTGGAGCCTGCGCCATGGCACGGCTGCCCGGGGAAGCAGCGCTCCCGCACTTGCCGTCCCCCTGATGCGGGGATACAGAAACACCCAGTTTTACACCAAAAAAAAGCCCGTGCAGCGTCCTGTTGCGGTGAGGGGGGACGGACACGGAAACGCGTCTTCGGTGCCCGCAGAGCGGCTCCCGCCCCGCTCTCGGGGCCGGTACAGGCGGGAGTACCCGGCCCGCCGGCGCTCTGCCTGAGGGGAAGGAGCCGCCCGGGCTG